CTTTATCCCTTTCCTTGTAAAAAAAATATTATGATAATGAAGTAAATTAGTGATATTTTTGGAAAAATTATACAATGGCCTCCAAATTTCTTAAATATATACTTTTTTTGAAAAAAAAATTTAAGCATCACTATGAATTGATTTTCCATTAGCATGATACCACTAGTGTTTTTTCATGTTTATAATAGGTGCAGGTAAAATGCCATGGATATTAAGATAAGTGGATACCCATTTTTCCAATTGGCAATGGCTTCTCAAGGGAATACAAGAAATGATCATATATCCAAATAAAGGATGCAGGTGGAGATCCTTTTAGGTGTTAGCTTACCATTTTGGGCTAAACCCATCTAGCATTTGGGTTCAGCTTAAAATCAACATTACCTAGCCCAAAGTAAACTTTGGTGGGGCAAAATGTCAAGCTCAACTCAATCCTATGGGATACTTTAGAAAACTCATAGGCCTGACCAAGTAGGCCATGACTGGACCTGCATCATCGGACCAAGGCCCCAAACGTCGAACACAAATTTGGTTGGGTTCGAGTTGTGATGACCAACATAGTCCAGCCCGAAAATTGTTCAAGACATAAGTTAAGCCCGTGGAAACCCGAGGTTGTTTCATTAATTTATTCATGTTCCAACAAGATGGGAGCATCTCAAGTTCAAGTAGGGGCACGTTCGCCCACGTGTAGCCCCATCGAATTCCTCAGGTTGAAAATTGCATGAAAAGGGTAACCAATAAATAACAATTATATACATAATTAAATGATCAGTTGTTTCATTTTTAATGTATTTATAGTTTCAATCGTTGCATCAGATTTTGTGCTAAACTACTGATGGAAATGTCATGTAAATCTTTATCTTAAGTTAATGATGATAAGTTGATAACCAACTGCCCACACTATCCACCGTTTTTGGATTACAAAAGACAGATGTGACGGCTACTAATTTTGTTGTTTCTCTTGATGGATAAATAATTCTACTTATTTAATCCAGTATATTATTTAAAATAAGATTTTTTTATGTTCTAAACGATGACTTGATTCCATTTATACCCACAAATGAATTATGTCCTTAAAATCAATTGTCTATCTACTCAAAATATAAATTCAATTGAATCATCGATTGAATGAAAATAAGTGTTGATGATTAATCAATTTTTATTTAATAAAGACTCAATCGATGAAAATAATGTTGATGGTTAAATTGATGATTAACTTTCACCTCAGCTAATGACAGGTCCAAACCAGAACTTTTCAAGCTTAACTTGCTAATTGATTCACTAAACTGATAGATGTTCACTGCATTTTCATGTCAGACATCTTTGTTTTATTGATTTCTTTAATTCAGTAGCCTGAAGTCTTCAACTCTGGCTAATGGAGCCTAGAGGATCCATTTATCTTCATATTCCGACCCATTTCTTTGAAGTTATAGTGATTCCAAGAGGTAAGGGAGATTAATATTTTGAAGAAATTAAAATTTGAAGTCAGATCAGTGTTCCTTGTTTTTCTTTCTTTTTACCCAAAACCCATCCTATTGGACTTATAATCCCCAAGTCAACATCGACTATAGAAATTAAAATCAACTATATATATAGATATATTTATCTTGACAAATTCTAAGGCCATGGCGTGGTTGACAATGTCACCACCTCATTAATTAGTAATTAGCATAATGAAATATCATCACTTGCAGCGTCAGATTCTCCATTGGATTCCTTTTACACCAAGAAATGACGTGAAGGACGTCCAGATTCTATTTTATAAGTCATTACAGCTACGCCACTCATAGCCAGGCAGTGCGTACTAACCAATGGATGCAACGAGAAATTACCCTCTGGAGCTCCCTAACCACTTTGAGCTACATGACTTCATTGATGATCCTAACTTTGATCAGTTCATCGATCTAATTCGTGTTGAAAATGAAGATGCTGTCGCTGGTTTCGATTATGATCTTACCAATGGTTGTTTTGTTGATAAGCAGATTAGTTCAACATCTGGGGATGATGCTTTTGGCTTAGATGCTACAAGCACCATGGCAGCGGATCCTAATTATATTTTCAATGCATTGCCAAGTTTTGATGGAGAAGTAATAAAGATCGGAGAGGAAGATAATGATGAGGAGGAGAATTCTTCCGGAACCACAATCACAACCACAGCAACAACAGCAACAGCAACAAAGAAAGCAAAAGGTTGATCGGTCAAGAACTTTGGTTTCAGAGCGGAGGAGGAGGGGTCGGATGAAGGAGAAGCTCTATGCATTGCGTTCCCTGGTTCCTAACATAACTAAGGTATATCTTATATCAGTGTCATGATTTCATCAGATAATTCTTGACCCTTTTTGGCATCAAGAGTAGGTCACTTCCTCAATTTTCAGTTGCATCCAATTCTGCAAGCTTAAATGGATTACAATTACACTTCTTATGCCTGCAGATGGATAAAGCTTCCATAATTGGAGATGCTGTATTTTATGTGCAAGACCTGCAAATGCAGGCTAAGAGGCTAAAAGCTGAGATTGCTGGTCTCGAAGCATCTTTTGCAGTGTCTGATAGGTACCAAGAATCAATTGATAACCCTGTGAAGATTAGAGTTGCACGGAAGAGCCATCCTATTTGCAAGAAGATTTTGGAGGTAAAGATCAATAAATATAAGCCTTTCTTCCATAGAAATTAAACGAAGCTTACATAAAAAAGGGGTACTTCCAAAATGTAAATTAAACATCTCCAAGTTCTTACAGCTGTGCATGTGGCTTTGCAGTTGAATATGTTTCAAGTGGAAGAAAGAGAGTTTTATATTAGATTGTTGTGCAACAGAGGTGAAGGGGTTGCAGTATCACTTTACAAGGCCCTTGAGTCCCTAACCAACTTCAAAGTTCAAAATTCCAATCTGGCCACTGTTTCTGAGAGATTTGCATTAACATTTACTCTAAATGTAAGTGACCCTTTTCTTATTTTTATCCCATTATGTTCCTTTTCCAGGCTATTCAACTTATTTCCTGTTGCTTTTCATAATGCAACTGATAATCTGTTATAGCTCTAACAGGTCAGAGATTGTGAGCAGCCCATGAACTTGCCAAACCTGAAGTTATGGGTGACTGGGGCTCTTCTAAACCAAGGATTTGAGTTTATTACACCTTAATCTTTCTAGTCTGTCTCGATCTAAACATGCTAACAATGCCTGAAAGTCATCAATGAATTGAGTTGCTTAAGTGCTAGCATGTTATGAACAATTCTCTTTCTTTTCTGACAAGTACTAATGATCTGTGGCTTTTAGATCCTACTTGAAAGACTGAAATTTGTACTAATATGTGCACCAATGACTGGTTGCCGCAAACTGAACTAATAACTTCAGACCATGATTTTTTTTAGTGAATGATCTGTAGGGTATAATTTATTGTACTTTTTTTTGAATAAACAATCTAAATGAAGCACAAAATTGGAAAATTATTCTAACTTTAATTTATGGTTTTTTTGCCTGTCATTGGGGATTTTTCATTTAGATATAATTATTTGCAACTTGAAAAAAAAAAAAGAAGAAGAAATTGGAAACCAGGAACTGTTCAAGCAACTGAATTTGTAATCATAAAATAGACAAACCTTCACACATTGCCCAAAATAACAAGGCACGAATCTGTGCCTTATATTAAACTATCCCATGGACTAGCTGACGGAAAAATGCACCATCCATAGTTGAAAAAAGGAAAATGAATTCTCCATGATTCTCATATCTGCCATGTAATAACATATACTCTGAAACTGGTTTGGTTCTTGGCAACAGCTGACAGAGTAGACAATGAGCACATTCAGGTGCCAAATATGGTCTGTAAAATCTACTTATTCCAGGCATTGCTCCTTCATTATACCAGAAGAGAGTAGTGAAAGTATTCATACTTCTTATTTACCTTCTTTCCGTGATTAATCCGTAGTAGGAATATTAGAGGAAATTAAATTCAGATGGACTCTGGAGCTGCGATGCCCCGTCCTCATTTTCTTGGTCACTCAAATAATTATTTCTCAAGACTCTTGGAATCCCCCTGTTTGCCTCACAAATGGAGGCATGAAAATGTTGCTTCCTTCATAGATTAGCTTAATTTTAGAATTTTTAGTCAAATATTCACTCTATTCTTATAAAATTAAGCTAAATATAATCATAATAATATATTAAAAATTGAATATTTATAAAAAAAATACTACTAGTTATATATCTTATATCATGAGATAGTAATCATAATTACATTTACATAATCCAAACAATTCAATCCTAAGAGCAATTTTTTTGATATTTTTCCCATTTCCCATCTTTCACAGACATGGTAAATTAGTTTAATATTAAGTGGAAAACTGTTGTTAATCGTATCGTAATTCAAGGATTCGAGTTCTTGTATTTAGCCATTGTAAAAGCAAATTGAGATATATAGAAAAAATAATTAAATTGATAAAAATTAAATTTTTTATTTATAAAAATTAATTTTTTGGTCTTGACTATTTTAATGTGCGATAATCATTTTGAATCTTGATTAATCTAGAGTCAAGTTGAGTTAGATCTCATAAAATAAATAAATTTTTTTATGCTTATTTTTCGAAACTTAAAATCAAAATTTTATTTTAAAAAAATTGAGCTTTTTATCATTTAAACCAATAGATATTGGTATAAAAGTTAAATTTGATTCTTTCTGAAAATCATTTTCATTAATGGATGATTTGCAAGAGTTTGGGAAGGCTTAACATATTTCCTTATTTAAACTTTTTATAAATAAAAAAGTTTATTGAAGTATAAATAAAATTATAAATACAAATAAAAAATAAAAAATATATTACCCTTTAGAACATTATATTTTATTTTTTTAACATTATTTCTTGTAAATTACTCGCAGGTGCCTAAAAATGAAAACCACATTCACTATTTGATCCGAAGAGTAAAAATTGTAGGATTTCACTTTTTACTATAGTTTTTAGCCACAGCTCCCATAGCAGACCCAGATAGAACCTTTATATAAGACAATACAGTACATTCTAGCTAAAACCAACGGGCCACAGCAGCCACTACAACCTCAGCTCACCTGATCCCCCTCAGAATCCTCGCTGACTCGATGCAAGCTGCGGCAATAGCAGCCATGGCAGCCCACGCAATTCTCACGACAATCCCATCACACCACACTCTCCTTTCTCCACCCCCAACTAACCCTTCTAACCCACCAGTTCTTCACTCCTCATTTCGTGGTGTCTCTCTCAAGCTCCCTCGTCAATCCCTCTCCATTGCTGCCACTGTCCCCAAGAAGCCATTTTCTCTTTTCGCTGCCAAGAAAGCAGTGGCTGTGCTTAAAGGTGATTCCAAAGTTGAAGGCGTTGTCACTTTGACTCAAGAAGATGATGGTATTTTTTTTCTCTCTTTTTATCTTTCTATGTACTTTTCTAATGCATTTTGTGATTTGGGTTTTTGGGTTTGTTGCTTTTAGTGGGGAAATTTTGTTTCTTTGTTGGGACTTCTTTGTTTGTTTGAGAGAAGAAGCAAAAGAGTACATTTTGTTTTTTTGGGTTACATGAATTCATCTCCAAGTTTGATTCTTTGAGGTTGGACAAAGTTATGGTTAGGGTGTGCTTAGTTCTGCTTCAAAATTTTCTTACGGTTCCCAATTCCAGATTTTTAGTGCTAGCACGATTTTCTTCTGGTTTTTCAAGCTGATATTGATATTGATTGTTTCATGGGTGTTGTATTCTATTCTTTTATGTTCAAGTTAAAGTTGAAACGAATGTCTATCCTGCAACAAATTTTAGGAAATAAAGGCATTGTGAAACTCAACATGTTCTTACTTTGTTGTTTAATAAGGAAACTCAACTGTACGAGCCACTGAAAATTCAAGAGTTAAATAAACAAATTGAGGGTTTATTTCTCTTATCTTATTGGCAATCATTTGTTGCTATCATCTGGGAATGCTTACTTATTTCTACCGTATATAGGTCCTACAACTGTGAATGTTCGTGTTACCGGTCTTACTCCAGGGCCTCATGGGTTCCACCTGGTGAGTGTTTTCGGCTTTAGCCTCATTTTCAGTGGATTTAAGCACAGAAAAGGTCTTTGAAATGTATGGTTTTAATCTTTCTTTTTTGTTTTATGTGTAGCATGAGTATGGTGACACAACAAATGGATGCATGTCAACAGGTAGAACTTATTGCATTTTGAATCGCATGCCCTAGGTTCTTATCTTGTTTCAATTTATGTATATATAAATTTTTATTTTTAAAATTTTAAATGATAGGAGCACATTTCAATCCTAACAAAATGACACATGGTGCTCCTGAGGACGAAGTACGCCATGCGGGTGACCTGGGAAACATATTGGCTAATGCTGATGGTAATGCATTCCACTTTTTTTTTTTTTAAATTATTCTGTGCGCCAATATTAAATATATTCACTACTTAATGTTTGGCTGACACAGGAATGGCAGAGGCAACAATTGTAGACAAGCAGGTGCTGTTCAAAACCTATGCTTCTTTCTGATAAGCTGTGTGCAAGTGTTTTCCTTTTTAGTGTGAGACAGCTCTTGGTCCTGCTTCCTTTTCAGTTGCTAAATTTTGACTCTTATATGCAGATACCACTAAGCGGCCCCAATGCAGTCATTGGAAGAGCATTTGTGGTTCATGAGCTTGAGGATGATCTTGGAAAGGGTAATTATTAGGCTTGCAATTAATTCTCACCTTTTCCTTGCAGGGAAACTTCCCTCTAAGTTGTGAATTCTTACTTTATTATAGTTTGAGAAGGGAGACTTGTAGTGGCTATTTATGTTGTTAGGAGGGTGGAATTTGGCTGTGGAATAAAATTCTTTTTATTTTAATGTTTATGCTTCATCATAGCTAATATAATTAGTCATGGGCATATTTCGGTTTTCCTTATTTGATTCTTACTTTCATTTTTCTTATATTTTTCTATTTGGCTATGCATCTGCAGGTGGACATGAACTTAGTCTCACCACTGGCAATGCAGGAGGAAGATTGGCATGTGGTATGTGTACATGTACTTTTATCTATATGCATATATGATCCCAGAGAAGACAAGAATTTAATACTAATTCCTGACTCATCTGTAATTTCTTTTTTCTTGTATCTATGTTTTGAGCATAATTATCTTTTACTTGATTTTTCCTTTGATTATTTTAGCTAAGCAAAAAGTCATTAATAACTTTAAGGATTCTGCAGCTTGTTATAACAGTTTCTCATGGCCTTTATTTTTATTTTGTGATTTAAGCTTCATTGGCTCAGTTCAAGCCTTGATGTTGCTTGAGGGAGCAATTTTGCTTTTGGTTCAAACCTTTCTCAAAACCTAACAACATGAGATCTGTTGTATCCTAGATCCTTTAGATAGGTGGATCTGCAATTCAATTTATTGATTTATATATTTTTTGAGGGAGGGGAGGTTTAGAAGGCCATGGTTAGCACAAGGACAGATCGTTTAAGATTTTGATATAATTGCAATCTCTTAAGGGTTGTAAGACAACTGCTAGAAGGACTAGTAAGCCATCTCGGACTCTTGGACTGTTTGAAATACTTGTATGTCTATGGCTTGGCAACGAATGTGGTATATGTATCTATCTGCTTTCTTTTCAACATAATTTAGTCATTCTGCAGTGTACCAAACTGCCATTTTAGTGCCTTAACCTCTAATTGGAGACCAATACTCAGTAATTTGCCCTCATGTCTTTGCCCCAGCTATCAGTTGGGTTGGGTGTTTGGATGTTCTCTTGTTGTGGCACTAAATTCTTACATTCTTTGTCATGCTTCTCGAATATTCTTTCCAGCATAACAAATCTTCTTCATGTCAAACATTATTATTGAATTCAAAACATCCTCTCATGTGTACTTGTTTTGGTAATGTATGTGCAGGTGTTGTTGGCTTGACTCCGATATAAATCTTTTGATTTCAGCAGTTTGGTCTTGTGCTATTATTTGCTGCTTACTTTTGCCAACTTCTCTTATAAGATCCAACATGTTACTTTTCAAGGATGTAATATGAGATTGTGCAGACAGCAAGTTTTTAGACCTTGATCTTTGTCTGTCATTATTCGCTATGAAATAAAAACCTTCCATGGTTTGTGAGTGTGTAGAACTTGGTTTTCTGAGCTTATGAAAAAACTTCATGGTGGTGGTTATAGGAAATTCTGATGCCTTGCCCCAGGCAGTAATGTCTCACTCTCCCCATGAGTAAAATCTTTCATGGTAGCCTCCTTGGGCCTTGGTATATATCCCTTCGGCCTTTGGGGGGCTTGCTATGCCCAAAAAAAAAAAAAAGGACAATGGTCTTGCTTAAATAACCTCATTTATTTTCTTTTAAAAATGACAAATTATCTTAATAATACATTTGACATGAGATGAATTAAGTATAAGAATATTTTATAGAAGAAAACATATTATAGCCGATTAAAATTTCCCTTGTTTGAATTGATTTTTTTTTTTTTTGCAAAAAAAAAAGAAAAAGAAAGAAGCAGAAGTGTCAACCGTTTAATAAATTTTGAGAAAATAGATGTAAAAAGGATAAAATATACATGAATTTTGACTTATTCCCTTTTCAGTAACAATAATTACAAATTAATACATATATTATGTATACATCCAAAAATATTTGAAAATATCTTTAATTTCGTCACTAAAACGTTAAACGGCATTGGCGACCATTCTGCCTTTAAATAGTAATCTTCTTCACAAAGTGCAACAAGTAACTGTTATTCTTAGTTGACCAAATACTAGTTGAAAAGATTATGTTAAATGTAACATCTGTTTCGTTGCTCATTTGCATTTTTTTTACAATAAATTAATTAAGCTCCCAAAATAATAATTTTCTAATAATATTATACTTTTATTATATCGATTAGTACTTTAATTCTATCTATGCTATATATAAAAGCCATTACTTTTTTTTTTTTATGTCCTTTTTAAACATGTATGTATGACTATAACAAAAACTTTTCTATTCAACTTGTCAACTATGTTAAGCAAATCAAATATATATCAACTTGTCAACTCTGTTCCATCTATAAACCTTTAATTTTTTTTTAATTTAAAATTCGAATTCAAAACTTTTAAATCAAAATTATCGATCCCGTTTGAATAAAGTGTTGTTATCTCATATAAAAAGGTTTATTATGACAGTTTACTTGCAAAATGAGTAAGTTGGTCACTCAATCATTCATTAAAAATCATGAACTGAGAAGAAAACCCAGTACTCTAATAATTAGGTTGAAATTAAGGAACAAAGAGTATCAATAGGTAGGCCACCTCAAATTAACCAGAAATTTTAAGGGGGTGAAAAACAAAAATGCAACTGTAACATTCTTTTAAAAAAATTTGAATTATAATTGAATTTTGAATTCGAGATTTTCATTTTTGAAATAGGTTTTAATATCACTGAGTCAACTGCTCATCGATGACTATAATATTATTTGATTACAATTGTTTGATTTGTGACTAATTATATACCATGGGCTATGTCATTTACCAAACCAGCATGAGAAAAGCTATGCATATATATATATATATATATATATTTGTGTTTTAGATTCTGAGTATGTGGGAGTGCTATGCCTATGTTATCATTCTTATTATTAGAAGCCAACAACCTATAAATTTCTTGAGCATTGCCTCAAACATTAGGTGAACAAGACAAAGCAGAAATTATTTAAGAAAAATGATTGCTTGCCAATTATCAAGATCACTAACAACATAAAAATGAAAAATCATGAAAAAATAATATGAAATATACAAAAAAAAAAAAAAGATATCTGGTATATGCTAATCTTCTAATTTTGTAAACAAAATTTTAAAAACTTCGATTGATAAACTATAGTATATGAGATAATTTTCTAAAACAAAAAACACGCTTCAATCGTGTGAGATTTTGATTGGAACAACAAATACACAACAAATCATTTGAAGGCCGCTGGAGTAAGTATACAGTAGCAATTAATATTTGAGTTAAGGATTGTTAGCTTTGCTTAATTTTAATGGTTGATTGAGAGTTAAATCACGAGGCAATTGTGAGATACAAGTAGAAACAAGTGAGAGTGTGAAAGACTAGTGTGAGCCTAGATTCAGGGATTTAGTTGGCCTAAAGTCATTGTCGCTGAAGGTATAGCATACAATATTTGATTTTGATGGCTACCGCTTTCCTCATTTTTCTTCTTGCTTGAGCCATTAGTTACAACTTCCAAAGTGGTTCATATCTGCTGCTAAAAGTCATCATTGATTCTATCACTAAGCTACCAATATCTTAATTTCTACATGAGAGAGTCGAAGATTAACTCACAATTTTTATAGGGTATGTTTGGCATGCAAAAACCTTACTTTTTTTTTGGTAGAAAGTGTTTAGGATGAAGAGAAGCTTATTTATTTTAAAGTTAAGATAGATCGTAAATTTTATAAAAGATTTATATGAATTTATAAATCATTCACAAAAATAAATTGTTAAACCGAACCTTATTCTTTTATCTCATTCGTTAGTTTTATTTTGCTTGTAACATGGTGTAGGTATCTGGATTCATGTTCCATTTATTAATACCTATTAATTGGCCTTTTAATTTTGATTAAGACAAGACAATGCTAGAGTTTTCGATTATACTTTTTCTTTTGATTTTGTAAGAAAGGGTTTTTGAATTCTGCTCAGTACATTTTTTTTAGATCAATCTAAGTAGATTTTTTTTATGACAATTCTGACGAATATACAAAAAATTACTCTCACAATCTCTCAATGGATTCAAACCCAATCAATAAAAGGAGGAGCACACTCTCTTTACCACTTGAGCTACCATCCGATGGGATTTCCACTATATTTTTAGCGACTGACCGAAATTCTATTAGAAGTAGTAACATATTTGGTAAAACATCTAGCTTAAGGTTTATACTCTGTTTTTTTTTTTTTTTTTTTAAATTTCGAAAAGGAGATTCGAACCTGACTCATACATCTACTATTGCACCACCAAATGCTCGGGTGGTAAGAACGCAGTCTATTTCTATGAACTCATTCGGTTGAAAGAGTCTGACACTATAGCATTGGCCATTTATAACTAAGTTATGAAATTAGCAGGTCTTGACAAATGATGATATAGTGTTCAATTTTGGCCCCAAATGATTGACATGGTTTCATATTCTCAGATTCACCAGATGCTTGAATTACAGATACATAATTACAGATCATGCAATTAGTGGGTTGATCCAATCCAAAAAAGCGTAGCAAGAGGCTAGAACCTTACTCCTCCCACGCCTCAAACGTCCCTATCCCCAAACCAAGATGATTTCTAACATAAATGGTGTGTGAACTATCAGTAAATACATACATCAAATGATACATTAGAATTGGATGTTTCAATGGTCTGACTTGAACTACACTATTATAATATATAGTGTTAGATGAGAAGAAAAGGTGCCTTGCACAATACCCTAACCCGACATTAAGTAGATTTTGGAATGCTTTTGGCTGAAGTTTATAAAACAGATCAAAGTAGATAGCAATGGAAAATGGAAAATTTCAAATGACATCAGACATATATGGACCTGCAGGTATCTTTTTCTTTCCTATAGCTAAAATGAGCTTTGATTAATGCTTTATTACACTTGGTTTAATCTCTGCTCAGCTTTTGAGTTTTACTTAAAGATATCCCAAATTTGTTGTAGAATTTTATAAAAACAAGATCCACTGTGCATATTAAAATTGGCATAACTAACCTTTTTTTTTCTTTCTTCTCCGCTAGTTTTGAGGGGTTTTGGTGATCCACCAATTTGGCTAGACATAAATGCCAATCTGACTTTTAGGTACATTTGACTAAAAGGATTTTCTTTATGTTGTTCTTAACAGTTCCAATTCCAAAGGCAGGCAGTTGGTTCACTGACAACCAAGAAAAGATAATAATATACTGAAAACCTTCAGCCAGCCAGCCAGCTTTGTTTGTTGTTCACTGACAGCCAAGAAACACATAAAACAAAAACACTTTTATATCTGTTTGTTTTTGTTTGTTAGTACAATCATATCATATTAATTTGAGGTGGAGCTGCAACTTGCAGGAATTAATTGCAACTAACATGTTACATGCTCTCTCCTGACTCATGACCCATGACGTGTTTGTGGCACAGCCTCTTCCTCATCATCCCCTCTCCCTTTCAGTTCTCCCCCAACAAGAAATGGGTGAGTGGAGTGAGTATTAAGTTCACTAGTTGAGTGTAGTTTAGTAGTGTCTGTAGAGTGTTACTCTCCAACTGATGACAGCAGTAGCCAGCAGGCCCCATCTGATCTCAAAATCAGATCACCCAAGACTGGAAAACACTCCAATTTTTCATACAACTTCAGAAATGTATTGAATTTGGCTAAAAATATTGTAATTGCCCATATTCAATGGATGAGATGAACCTGACTATGGTCATTTCCTGGTAAAACACTGATATATTTAGAGTCACTATTAATCCATCATAAATTACTCAATCTCATTAAAATTTTACTTTAGTACTTTATTCATAATCATATGATCAATGAGTTTCTCATGTATTACAAGACAATCCCAAAATAAACTACTTATTTTTCTAATAAATAGCACGAAAAGTCATCATTATTATTAAGTTTTGGATTTAATTTTAGTAATTTTATATTTAAATTGAGTTCCTTCATCTACATTGTTAATTGATTTTATATTAAATGTTCAGCTTAATATCGAATGGTATCAAGTCCTATTAAATCTGGATTTGTTCATACTTATTTCAATTATTAATATTGGATCTATATTGTTATCTCATATTTGTTAACTTTTGAAATTTTATGATTTTATATTCAAATTAAATGTCTCGATTTATTTAAAAAAAATAGATTAGATGCTTAACAAATACTACTATATTCAATAATATTGTGAATTAATGGTCTAAAATATCTTATATAAAACACCAATAAATTTGTGAAGAACAATAGAAATTATACCTAATTTTTATATAAGACAATTATGAAATGAATAAAAAAAAAGAAAAGTCAATTATTTTTCTTACAACTCAAAGTGTAATTTGTTATCCCTTGTTTGAATAGTGACAGAATTAAACTATAAGTTGGCTTCATATAACTTGACTTTATCACATGTTAAATGAGATCCAGAAATAAGCTTTTGACTTTTACTAGGGCTGCAA